AAAGTTGTCATTTATTGCTTCAACATTTCTTCTCCGAAAAATTTTCCACTAACCCTGTCCTGCAACATTTATCCAGTAGTAAAATCTTCTCAGAAATAGACTCTAATTCTGTTTTCTTTTGCTTTGTTGATCTATACTGTACCACAACCATTTATAGTACTGATCCTATCTTCTTAAGTATTTGGATTACTCCTAATTTAATCAGTAGGAATAATAGGTAAAGTTTCTCGAGCATTTGTGAACATTATCCATCCTAATAAGGATGCAAATCTAACTTCACTAGGTATTCATGTATGATTTTTACCTCAAGGAATAAATCTATTATCCAATTAACTCTTCCTATTATTGGCACATTATCTTAAATTTTGCCCAATACTTACATAGCCAGTAAAATTTAAGGAATTCTTTTTTGCACTTTTAATAATTCATGTTATTTTGTCTTAAGTATAAATCAACACATAGCTAGATTTTTTAAAATGTGCGATCTGACAGTCTTTTTCAACTGAACAATTCAGTCCACATAAATATTACCATTATTAATATTTTATAGGCTGCAATTTTATTTTGATTGCAGAAAGCAAGTAATAAATTTAAGTGAAATGATTATGATAAAAATAGCAAAGAACTGAAAATCTACAAAGTCCACCTAAAGCATGAAAATTTGACATTCAGTAGTTTTTTTCATCTTCAGGTTTGATTGACAGTACTTGAAAATGTTTAAGCAGACTTTTAAATCATGATGACTATTCTAAAGTGGATATCTACAGCTGAGTAGTTTTAGTATCTCTTCTCGTTACCCAAGACGCGGCTGTGTTCAGCACTGTGAACCGACCTGGGACAGATCTCTACTATATACTTTGTTGCTAAAACGTGTAGAATATTTATACTGTGCTAGTTTAATCCAACTTGCACCTCTCCAATTGGCTTTTAAAAACTGGTTCGTTTAAAATTTTTATTTTATATTGTTCTTACTTTTCTTGCTCTCTACTCATCAGAAATACATGTATTATTTCTGCAAAAGTTAACTGTGCTATTATCCTTATAATATCTGAATTCTTTCTCAGAGTACAAATCAACCCCATGAATCCACATAATTTATGATGTAATTATTTGGATTTAAATGTTTTCTCATCCATTTGTGTGCATGATCACATTCACACATCTTAAATTGTTCTCATTTTTCCCTTTTCTGAATTATATCAATGAATAAATGCCCCAGGAAATGATATCTTCCTATGTAAAATGTTTAGCTACTACTTCTGGTGATGTTTCCATTTTGCATTATAAAATAGAGTGGATTGCCACTTGAATTAACAATTATTTTCTATTAAATCCTTCTAAATGTGACTCCATGATCATTTGAATTCTATTCTTGCTTGTATAAATTTTTCTTTCACTCTGATGCGTCAAAGAGTAGTTTTGCTTTTGGGGTAGTTTGCTTGCTCTCAAGATTTTTTCTCGGTTGTTACGTTCATTTGCTATACTATGGTTAAGAAAGTTTCGTAAATTATTTACATGTCTTGGATATATCATTCTTTTTGTTTTGTGGGCCCATCTAGTTTGCTTTTGTCCACATTTTAAATTTTTCATTAATTTTCTTTTCATACCTTCACTATCTTATTTTCTCACTTCAATAACTGTGTCCTTATTTATACTCTTTATCATGCTACACAAACACTATAATTGCTACACAGTTATCCTTTTAAAAAATCCAGTACCATTAAACCAACCACCTTGTGTTTCCCGCACAGGTCTTACCTGTGTCTATGTCTGCATGCTGAGTCACTGTGCAAGGATCTTAGCTTTCATCCTCCTCCAAACATCATCTTAGTTTGGGAATGCATTTGAAATATGATCTGGTAATCAGCAGAGGAAGGGGAGAGTTGGCAGAAACTTACAAAGTCGCTTGCAAGTCTTTGATTAGAATCGGAAATTTGCTGTGCACGTTCTTTTGGACAATGCCAGTCATGTGGCTAAGCCCAGCATCAACAGCAAAGAACTGTACAGGGATGTATGTTTGCAGAATATTTTCAGATTCACTATACTAATGTAAATGCTCAGTTGGAAAACAGTACATATAGGTGTTTTTTAAGATCGGGTTGCACCATGTTATTCAGGCTGCACTTGAATTCACTACAGAGCCCAGGTTGGCCTGAAATCCACAGCATTTCTCCTGCCTCAGCTTCCCCAAAAAATGAAATTACAGGTGTGTGCTACCATGCCTCCACACATGAACATTTTTTTTAATGACCTACTATATTCCCTCTTTCTCTTATGAAAAGTTAATTTATTTATTCCTTTTGACAACCAGTATCTGTTGCTCCTTGTGAATCACATTGTACAGCTACCTGAATGTACAATAAAGGTTACTCTCAAATCTGCAATGTCAGTCTTTATAAAAGAAGAAATTCAGAAGTTATCATTGGCCATAAAGGATACTATCTCATCTGAGTCAATGGTGATAATCTTCTCTTTTTTTTTTCATTGTCTAATAATTCAAATATTCCTCACATTTGTCACATATTAAGTATGTGATGAATTGGGTTAAACATCTTCACTTAAATAATAAATTGAGCAAAGAGATCAAGAAAAAATATTCCTTTGAAGTTTAGATACATAGAAGCTTAGATCTCTGTACAGATATCAGGGTAGATCCTGAGGCTTCAATAGCTCCTGAGACAGCAGATCCTAGGACAGTAAAAGTTAATTCTCTAAATTTGATTTCAAAAAACAAAAATGCTTGAATTTTTAAACTATTGAAAACATTTTAAACTTTCCAATGTCACAGAAGAGGCGCTGTCAATACATTTCTTGAAATCCATGAAATTGCATTTTAGCAGACTATCACCATTGCATCCTCAAAATTAAATAAATTTGTAATTAATCAGGAATAATTGCTCTAATTGTTTTAGGCATTCATCCATTCAATATCAAATATTTACTTATTGAATACTTAAAACTATTCTGTGATGAGCATTATCCTTTATTTTCCTGCTTTCAAGCGCTGACCTTTCTCTGAAAAAAGACATTTGAGCTGGGTGTGGTGGCACATGCCTGTAATCCCAGCACTCAGGAGACTCACGAACGAGGTATTCAATATCAAATATTTACTTATTGAATACTTAAAACTATTCTGTGATGAGCATTATCCTTTATTTTCCTGCTTTCAAGCACTGACCTTTCTCTGAAGAAAGACATTTGAGCTGGGTGTGGTGGCTGAGTAGCTGCTATAGAGCTTAAAATACTACCTGTGGTAGCAGTGGTATATCCTGGTGGATAGGATCAAGGGTTACAAAGATAAGGCTGGGTCAAATGTAAATGTTGACTGTACTTTCTAGTTCTTTCACAGATGAATTTTGTTTACTTGCCTATGTCTTGGCTTCCCTTTCTTTGATAACTATGTTTAAAATACTACCTGTGGTAGCAGTGGTATATCCTGGTGGATAGGATCAAGGGTTACAAAGATAAGGCTGGGTCAAATGTAAATGTTGACTCTGTACTTTCTAGTTCTTTCACAGATGAATTTTGTTTACTTGCCTATGTCTTGGTTTCCCTTTCTTTGATAACTGTAGCTGTCGTACATCACCAGTGACTTTGGCATTTAGGTTCACAACGGTAAAAAGGACGTGATAACTAATGTTAATTGAATTCTTATGATTTTTAAAAACTTCATCCCATTAACATCAGTTCTCTTACAGTGCTAATAATATTCATGAACACCAAGCATCAACTTGTCTACTAGAAAAGAGTCCTCTTGCCCAGATGAAACCTAAGTTAGTTCTTAAAGTGAAACTTTTTTTTATCAGATTGAGAATCTGAAAGCTTCCTAATAAAACGAAAAGTGTAGTGCATACAAATGAGCACAGTGTTGAAATTAACTGGCATTCTCTAGTAATAGTGCCACGCTAAGTAGTGTCTGTCCTTGAAGGAACTAACTAAACATACTCACCTAATATTCACTGATTTAAACTAAATCCTGATGGTTTATGTGTTCTGGTTCTGGGGCGAATTTAGCTTATTCCTATAAAAGGAATGCAACAAAATCAATAGTATTCAAAGCTTGATTAACACATTTCATATAAATATTCACCCTATCCTACTATCCAAGAGTGCAAATTCATTTTGAAAAAGAATGCAATGGAATTTACTTTTCATTCGGTGATATCCACTTGCAGCTTACTTTCTAAACTTTTCCACTCTTAGATTTTTGGAATTTCACAGAGCTGCCTTAGATGAGCGTACGTGGGAAAGGTGAAGGGGTTGGTTCCCAAGTCCAAGTCTCCCTTCAGTCAGCGCAGTCCTTTTGATAATCAGCTTTGTATTTCACAAATGACTTCATTCAAGAATAGTGACGATGAGCCTAAAAGATAAATCAGTGAATATTACTGTGCTTCATACTCTAACCCAAACAAAACCATGGCCCATTTTCATCTCAACCTCCAGGAACAAACCCTAAAAGCCAAGTTGGTGAAGACTTCATGTGGATGCTAAATACACACAGCACCTCCGGGGCATGCTCATGAGCAAGTGGGAAACAGCCGCCTCAGTACACAGCCTGAACATCCTGGCAACTCTCACGTGCTCTGTCTACCAAGGTAAGTCTTAAGGGGCATAAGGTCAATTTTGTGTTCAAAGAGCATTGTTGTGAGTGCATGATACTCAAGTTTATTCTTTGGAATATTTCTATTGTGAATTACTGATTTTAATTTTATGATTTTATTACATTAAAGAATGAGTACTTAAATTTTCATTAAGAAAGTATGGTATGTGTTATGTAACCCAGTGATTTTCCCCCGCCCTTAGGTTTAGGCACCACATTAGATAGCACCAGCTGGCTGGAGGTCAGTGATTATTGAAATGGAACAGATTCTAGGGAGGGTGTGGAGGGAGGCTTTTCCCCTACAAGACAGACTGCTGAGCCACGTGAAGTCAAGACAAACACACAACCAGGTTTTATGATGCGATGTGGTTTTTCCAAAATCCTTCTGAACAGAATGATGCAAAAAGTGTAGGAGTAAGAATGAGAGAGAAACTAGAGACATTTACAGCTAAATGAATGCACTTTGTACTCTTAAATAAAAAGGGCACACGTATAAATAGCAAATAGTTTCTCTGGTGTGAAAAAGTGCAAGTGTAAATAAGGAATAAAAGGTATAATAGATCATATGAAACAGGACGAAAAAGGGTGAAGGGAAAGTGGGAGGGTAGGGGAAAAGAAAGAAAGAAATGGAGTTAATATGAGCAAAAGAAAAAATAGAAACAAAATCTTTGTAGAGAGGGAAGGAGGGCAGGGGAATGGGAAAAAATAAGGTGCAAATTTCAATGAAGAATGTCATTATATTGGATACCTTAAATGTAGTGATAAAATTAATTTCAAAAAAGTGTATCAGTAAAAAACTACTAGGGGAGAAAACTAACATCTAGAAATAATGTAAAGATAATAAAAGTTTCATTTTTTCCAGCCTATTTTGCTCTCCTACATCATATTTTCTGCTGATGGATGAATTTTGTTCGAATGTGCAACTAGACAAGGAACAAGTGATTATATGAGCGCACCATTTATCACAATGGGCTTGAGCTTTAGAAAATACTCAAGTGGGCGTTACGTGATTCTGTTAAGGTCCTTTTTAGAAGGGAAGATTGCACAGCTGTTGCACAGAGCAGCATTTTGAAAAGTTCCCACTTTGCCTGATCAGCAATTAAATATAGGTAAAGGGAAATGTCACTCTTCCCGTTGATGACATATTCACAGAAACCTTTCAACTTTAACAACTGTTGAGTTCTGTATTTCTGTTCCCTGGTTCAAATTTTATCACCTTGATAATGGCAAAATCAGTACAAGTTTTGAAATAGTATAATAATTTTCAAGAAGAATATACATATACCGGAAGAAGTATATATTATTATGTGTTTGTGCATGTGATTGTTAGCTGAAGAGATGATTTTTTTCAAATTATTTCAGAAAGTAAACTAAAGATCAAATCCCTTGTGGAATGCCATGTAAATGAATTGGTTTTTATTGTGTAAGACTTTTCATAGACTTGATCTGTGAGGGGATAGTCCAGTAAGATCATATATATATATATATTAATATAATATATATTGTATAAATAATATATATTTATGAAAGATGGGATGGGAATGAGAGATGGGTAATGAAGAACCATTTTGAACAACACAACTGTTCTACAGAATAAATTTGGGACAGAAGTTAGAACACTCGGTGGACACTTGTTTACTAATACTATTATCTGTATAAACATTGCAAAGGAATCACTCAGTGTACATGTATCTTTTCCTTGATATTACTGACTACAAGCTCACTGATCATTTCTTGAATTCTATTACTCATGAAATTTTCATACAGTAAGGAGGTAAATCTACTCTAATAAAAGTGGTCAGTTTACTGCTGCCACCGAGTGTTTTCCCAGGTACATAGAAACTGGCTTCTACATTTCTTGCTATGTCTCACAGTACAGATACGAAAAGGCAATTCCATTCATAGAAATTTTTCAGATAAAAAGAATCTGTGGGTTGTTAAATGAGAAGTCCAGTGATTTTGAGAACTATTCAAATCTAATCTGAGTGCTTAAACCTGAGAATTCTTTTCCCTGTGGCTAGAAGGGATTTGGAGCCTTGGTTTCAAAATTTTCCTCTACATTATCAATGGAGTAACATGTATTCCCTGCATACACAGAATGCATTTTTCATGAGAGGCTAGATGATCATTTCATGAATAGATTGCACCATTAGTAAGAAACTTCAGAAGATATTAGAAGTTAAAGAGTCTTTTATAGCCTCGCTGGGGAATGTTGCTAACACTTATAAAATCATTTCCAGGAGGAAGGCTATTATAAACTTTATAATAACTTCTATAACATGACCTATGTATACAATAAGGACATTTAGCAAAATTTATATGTTCTGTGATTCACATTAAAATAGTGGATATTTATATATGCATGTAGTCACCCAAAAGGCCAGGGAAGAGAAAATAAAATATGTTTAGAGAAGGGCTTTGATTGTAGGAGTGAGGTTCTTGAGAGGGAACAGTGCTGGCAAGTCTGGATTAAGAATACATTAAAACATTCTATTCTGAGGGTATTTTAAAACACTGTCTTTTCCTTTACTCATCGATTTTCAAACTTGCAGATGTTGTAAAAGTCATTCAGAAAGCAAAAACTGGCTAATGGGCTATGTCATTTGGAACTATGTATGGAAAGACATGCCCAAATGAAGGCATTTTCTTGGGTTTCATAGTTTTAATGTTTTTCCAGTGATTTTATTTTACATAAAGACACAGACCAATAATGACCTAATTTTCCTTTTGAGGAATTTTTCTTTTTACCTGACATGCCCAGCAAGTTTTTTTTTGAACAGAGAAAAATATTTTAAAATTATATTTTAGCTAGACTTTTAACCCAACACTTTGACTATAACATGGAAAATAATAAGAGCTAAATAATATCAAGTATTAGTGACAGTTAATTGTAATTGCATGTTACCTGATTCCAAAGTGTTTACTATTCCAGGATTTCTCGCGTCCTTTTTTTTTTTTTTTCCTCTTACCAATGAGTTTAGCTCTATTTTCAGTAAGAAAAGATTCCTTATCACAGTATGAAGACATTTAATAGATGTGATTTCCATTAAATGATCAATGAACTGTTAACACATCAATTTTGGATTCCATTAGTATTGCTTTCACCTACCAATACTTTCACTTACCAGGAATGTATTTTATTTGAATACCTAATTCGTATGTAGTTAATGATTAAGTAGCAGCAGATAGCCTTAACTACTTCTGGCTCACTGCCAGTATTGGGAAACAGAAGTAATCATGGGGATCCTGCCTCATTAGGAAGATCAGCAAATTAATCAAAAAGTGCCAGTTGGGATACCTTTACACCACCTAACTCAAGGACACCACGGTATTGTTATATTCACTATCAAAGCACTGGGCTTAAGAATTATTACTTTTGCAACATCAATTAGGAATGTGAGTAACTTGTTCATTTCCAACTACATGTCAGAAAGATATCTCAAAATATGGAATTTCCAAATACATGAAACTTTTAAAAATGGGAGTTAACATTAACCAAATGCTTTTATAATACAATGACACAAACTGAAACCCAGAAAGCTAAATGCTTTGCTTAAGATAAAAAACAGCAACAACAACAACAAAAAACACAATTGTTTAATGGAATAGACTGGACTGGATCCCAAGTACCCTGGTTCCCAGGCTAGCAATGGAAATTCCAAAGATTCCTCTCTTTTGCCTCCTTTGATTTCATTTGTTTTTCCCTATGGTGAACTGCTCATCCTCAGTATCTGTAACACAAGGCACAGTAGGGATTTTTTCCTGTTTATCTAGGACTCCAGCATTTGTGGCCATTCTTATTGCTCCATCAAACAGACATTCAACAGGAAGAAAACGCTCTTTGTGCCAGTCAGATAAAAGCAATAACTGGAGCAGAGTACAGATTGCCCTGAGTGGGACACAGCTAATAGCAATAATTATTCCCTTCACCTACCTTTATCTTGTATTGCTGAAAATAGCTATGATTCTGCTTTAACTGAAACTTTCCATTTCAATCATAGATAACACCTGGAAACCATTTATACATTTAAAGTTATTTATCATCATTCAGAGAAAAGATGTAGAGAGATGCTAAAAGCTTATGTATTTTTCCTCCCAAATATATTTTGTGAGGGTTTCTTAAATATTACTGAGTAGGGCCATTGGGGCCAATTTCTACTTTTGAGCTTGTCTCTAAGAATTGAAATCCATTGAGGTACATAGATTATCCTTTCAATTTTACCTTTTATAAATGGATGTCATCAAAGTTTTGAAAGTATTTCCAGCAAAAAGAATAATCAACATCTAAATGCACATCTAATCATACTATTATTGTATTTTGTCAAATTTGTCATATACTTTTTGTGAATTCTCTAGGTGCCTTCCATCAGTCCTTTCTTTTTCTTCCACATGCAGAGAAAACATAAATGATTCTACATGTTTCATGCAAATGTCTATGTTATTGTATATGAATATATTCATAAAATATATTATTGATTCCATATTGAACTTTGGTTTCATCACTTAAGACATTTCATTGCATTTATTAAATATTATGTTTAACTAGCAGTTTATCAAGGTTGATGGTAGAACTTTGGTTCACTGCTATACAGTATTTTATTATTTAAGCAATGCAAATCATCTTTGCTTCTATTCATTGATGCTCACTGTTGCTGATTATTATTTACTTCCACTAAAAATACGCATCTGTGGTCATATCTCCTTGTATACTTCTGTGTAAGGTTCTCAAAGTTACACACCCAAAAAGTAAATCCTGTCATGTGGTAAGAGCTTTGAACGACTCCATTTGTCTCTGGCCATGTTCTGCCAGCTTCCTCTTCAAATGACTGTAACAATAAATACAACTACCAACATGAGAGAACGTCTTTTGCCAGACACTCTCAGCGACATTTTTGTCTCTGGCCATGTTCTGCCAGCTTCCTCTTCAAATGACTGTAACAATAAATACAACTACCAGCATGAGAGAACGTCTTTTGCCAGACACTCTCAGCGACATTTTGTCATTCACAACTTTTTAATTTTTGCCAATCTGATGGACAGAAACTAATGCTTTATTGTTTTAATTTGCATTTTATGGGTTGCTATTAAAATAAACATCTATTGAAATGTTGATTAGCCGTTTGGATGTTCACATTTGTGAAACACTGGCTAATTTCCTTTTGAAATATTTGCCTTTTTGTTATTGCTTTCAAGGAGTTCTTTACATATTCTGGATACCTACCCTCTGGCACAGGTGTAGCAAAAACTTAGTCTCACTCTGTGGTTTACCGCTTCGTTTTGCTCACTGGCAGTTTGAAACCCTGAGTATTTTTTTGGCTTTTGTATTCTGAAATGGGTAAGTATTTTCTTTGTTGCAATTATTTGTACTATTTCATAAACCCTTCTTTAAAACAATGCAGAAAAAGTATGAAGGGCATTTTCCATACACTTAAAAAACTGCATTTCTCATTTAGATATTTAACCCACTAAAAGCTCAATTGTAATAAAATATAGTTCATATCTGGGGTGAATAAATTAGTTTGCATTTTATTTTTTCACGGGTGGAGAGGAGAGTCCTCAGTCCCGGGCCTGACTCTCCCGACAACACAGAAGGTTGTGGAAGACTTGGATAGAGACAAAAAGCATAGAAGCAAACCTGTACTTTTATTAAGCAAGCAGGAAGAGTACAGCTGCCTTCTCTCAGAGAGACAGGCATGGGTGCCCGAAACCGAGCCACAGCTGAAGGGGGTCTCAAGATGTTATTTTTCTAGTATTTGGGGCCTGTTTTGCTTCTGGGCTGAAGGTGTCCCTACTTGATTGGTTAATTACTTTCGCTTGTTACTAGGGACAACAGGGAAGGGTCTTTTCGAGGTGGTGGTGGTGCGGCTTGTACATCTTAGAGCCAAAGTTCTTTTTCCTTTTGGTCTTAGCAAACCAAGCTTTGCACGGTACAGCCTGAAGAGGAGGTGCAGCTGCTGACTGTCGCTTTCCCTGGGTGGGTGAGCCTGTTCTGCGGGCTATCTCAACTCCTTCAGCGGAGGTAGGGTCGGGGTTGGGGGTGCCAGGTCTCTATCCCTACAATTTGTTAAGTTGCTAAATTATATTATTGTCCTTGCTCTTCACTATTTTCGTATACGTGCTATTTTCCCCCTTAACTATTCTCATCCCTAAGTCAAAAGTTTCTCTTTTTTCTGGTACGTAATATATATTTAAATAAGTATTTGTGAGAAAATATCTCTAGGTATGGATTTAGTCTGCTTTGCCTACTTTTTCTTAGATAACTGCCAAACTATTTGAGCTCCTTTGTTTTTCCATGTAAGATTTTTTTTTAAAATGTGCTTTCTGTAAAAAACATTATTGGCAATTTTATGGGAAATGATTGGATGTATAAAAATTTCGAGATATCCTCCATTTTCATAGAATACTTTCAATTTGTAAATAAGAATTTAAGTTTAAAGAAACATTCCTTGGATCTGGGATTTAGCTCAGTGGCACCACACCTGCCTCGCAAGCACAATGTCCTGAGTTCGCTCCCCAGTACAAAAAAATTTTTTTTCACTCAACCACAATTATAAAATATACTGCAGTAATCTCTTACGTAATCAATACGTTTAGTAGAATCACTGGTCTATGATAAAATGGCATCTCTCTGAGCTGATGTCAGTGGTGGCTAGTGAGTTTCCTACGTGAGCATGTAAACTCTTTAATGTAGAATGGGATTTGCTTTACTTTTCCTATAACATGGTAATACGTAATGTAAAAATAAAATTAATATATTAATTAAGGTCCATTCAATAAATAAGAGCATACCAATAAGCTGAACAGAGAAATCTAAAAAATTAGTGACTTTTAGAAGGTAGTTTAACTATTAAAATAATTAAAGTAAACTTTAAGGGTTTGAGAATTAGTGGGTAAGAAAAAGAAAAGCAGCTATTACCCCTGAGGTGAGGAGGAATTGGCAAAGAAAATGTGGAGAGGCATTTGAAGGTCTTCTCAAGGAAGGATTCCAATCTCTTCAGAGAGAACTTGACTCCTCCTATGCGCCAGTGGTGAAGAAATGACTCAGAAGTTTCCAGGTGAATCTGCCGCACAGACCTACCGCTCCAACAGGAGGCAGGACTGGCTCCACCTGGCGGATGCCACTGGGCTCCATTCTGCATGACGCAGGACCAGGAGGAGAGCGCTGAAGGAGAGCCCGAACCAGCGCCTGGAAAGGTGCCTGCAGCAGCCTTATTGACAACATTCAACACTGCTCTAGTTGCAAAGCAGAAAGGGGTAAAGACTACTTACTATTGCTGGAGGAAAGTAAGGCAGCTAGCATTACAGCCAAGTGCTATGGATCTGTGTCACGGCTCTGCGTTACAGCAATTTGAAGACAGGAGAATCTGAAAGCCTCTGGAAGAGGTGGAGAAAAACCTTTGCTCAGCTGGCTGGCCCAGAGCAATTTTAAGCACTCCGAATTCTGAGCCCTCAGATGTAGTGAGAATGAGTTTATATACATTAGTGGAAAGGAAGTAGAGAGGAACCTTTCAGGGTTGAGATGGAGCCAGAAGCTGGAACACCTGGGGTGGAGTTAACAGAACATCCTTGAAACCTTAGGTAGAAACATCACGTTTAAAAAGTTACAGTCCTTGAATAGAACACGTTAATACATTGGGCAGGGTGCAGCACCATCAGTTACATTTTATGGCACAGACATAGTGGGGGTTTGCAAAGGCCTACCCTGTTGTGCATTATTTATCACTATGGGACCAGCGACACAAGTTAGTTGGAAAATTCCAAACTGTCCAGCAAGCTTGAAAATGTAGAGAATATGTTGAGAGCATGTCAGGAATATTTTCATTTAATGTAAATCTCTCATATTTTTTTATATGAGAAGGAAAATAAAATGATTTTGTAAGACTGGTGAATAAGACTTTATTCTAAATTTATAAACCGTCCTACCAAGAATGGCAATAGCACATTAAGCTTCTAGAGGCAGGAGCAACTTTAACATTGAGATTTAAGACTTTGAGACTCTTAATTCAAAAGTACTTAATTTTGATACTCTGTATTAATAAGTAGTTTTGCAAAAGGCAGAGCTATGGAGACACTGAAGATATCAGCACTTGCTCTGAGTTAAGGAAAGAGTGATGAATAGGCAGAGCACAGAGTACTTTTCATCCTGAAAACCACTCTATGAGATAAGATGATGTCAGTTATAGATTTATTCAGACTCATGTAATACACAGTAGCAAGAGTGAACCCTAATGTAAATTATGGACTTTGGGTGACAATGATTTATAAACTCATGGGTGGTATTGTTAAGTATGATGTGATATGAAATAATAATAATGTTTATATCTTTTAATCCATTTCTGTATAACTTAAGCGTTAGGAAAGCTGGTGATGATCAAACATATGCTCAGATTTTTAGATGGAGCTAAGTGTGATTACAGAACAAAACAGCTACAGAGGAGGAGGAAGATCATATCAGGAATCAGAAAAACAAAGGATACCACCAGTTTATACTAAAATAGGCTGAGTATAGCAGGCATGGTGGTGCGTGCCTGTAATCCCAGCCCTCGGGAGGCTGAGGCAGGAAGATTGCTGTGAATTCGAGACTATGAGCTACATAGTGAGTTCCAGGTCAGTCTCAACTACATAGTGAGACCCTGTCTCAAAAAACAAAAGCAAAAAATAGGCTGAATGCTGTCCTTAGACACATCACACTTTTTAGGTAGGGGTTAACTCATAGGTCAGCTGTTACATTTTCCAAAATTAATTTATTATGATCCTAATATTCCTAGGATTGCTTTCATATTTCAGTGGCTATTCATATTTTCCAGTATTTCAATTAGAAGACTTAAGTTCTAAAAGCATAAGGTGTGGTTAAAAGATGACAAAATACATAAATTTAGTGGTATGCACTGCAGATGATAGTTTTACTTGTTTTTCACACTTTAGTTATTTTCTTCAAAAGTCAAATGGTAATGGAAAAACCATTGCACACATTAATCCTTTCATCAACAGAGACAGCAGAGGACAATGTTTTTCAACTCATTCTCTTTTGGGGGCTTCCAGACTTACTCATGCTTTGCAGTTCAGAAAGCAGCTGCATCTCATGCAGCCATTGTATTCCTTCTCAGTGAATGGAGAAGGTGTCTGCACCCTTGCTAAGCCATTCGACCTCATGGCCTGACATGCAAAACTCTATAGCAGATGATTCTCACTGTCAAATGCGAGGGGGCGGTAAAATTACAAAGGAGAAGATAAATGAGACCAGCCTGGATTTCCACCGCAATTCATGAATGCTATTGAGCCTGCCGTGGCTGGCAGATTTACAGGTGGCAGAAATAAAAGATTAATCATTTTACTTTATTTATGCCTCCAATGTAACTGAGGACTAAGTAATTTGATTCTCATCAGGAATCTGTTTCCTTTTGTCATTTCCCAACACCTGTCCTTCAGCTAATTTATCCTTCTGCTCATAAATGTTAGGCATTTGCAGCAAAAGTATCTACTTTGCATTCTCTTGTATTAGTAATTTGGGAAACTTTCCTCTTTGCATTTGATTTCCCTCTGCAAGAAACAAAAGATACATTCCAAAAAGAAAAAAAAAAAACTGCAGTCTACTACAATAATTGCATCTTTGCTTCTTAAATTATTTAAGAAAAGCAGAGGGATGTGCAAAGGGAAGGAGAAATAAAGTGGGTGTTGCAGCCCATCCCTAAAGGGAAAAAGGCCACAGTAGATCCTGCTTCAAAAACCGCGCAAAAAAGAGAAAAGATACCTCTCCTCCTTCACCATTTTCTATAAATCTAGTGCTCATCTAGACCCAGTAGCAACGACTGTGTAGATCTGAAAAGATAATGCTGTCCTATTCCTTTATTCTTTTTCTTATTTCAAAGGAGGTAACTTTATATGATATTTTACCTGTACCAATTTCCTTTCTTGAATCTGTAGTACTTTAAAAACATCAAATGACAACATTAAGTCCATCATCATTTCCACCCTAACCCTGCACATTTATAGACGCTCCCAACCCTGACAGGGACAAGGCCTGTGGACTACAAGACCCCACCCAGTGGGCACCACTGTGTAGCTGAGGAGTGTGATCACTGTTCATAATAACCCTGGTATTCTCCACAGCCACAGCTTTTCATCTAAGGGCAAATACCAAGACTGGCCATGCCTTCCTGACCTCGATTCAAGGGCTTACTGTCTCCATAAGCTATTTGTCATTCTCTAAAAGCACAGCTGTCTCTGCAAGTCTCCTACTCAACCTTCGGCAATCTTTACAGGTGAATGAAATGTCTAACCAAAAGGAAAGAGTATAGCACTTTCTATTGAGACCATCATATTTGTGATGTGGATAATGTTGGCAGCAGTACTAGGAGAGTTTGGGAAAGAGTAACGACAGTAGTAAGAAGAACACCAAAGGAGGCTGTTGTAGCAACTCAAACGATAAATGTGAAGAGATGACAATGTAAGCAGAGAGGAAGAGAGATATTCTAACCGCATTAAGATCATTCATTGGATTAGAGTAGGGTACCACTGCTACATGCAATGAGGAGGAAGAATAAATCAGAAATAACTCCCACAGGTTTGACTTGTGCTCTTGGAAGGTGACTGAGACGGAGAGAAATTGTAGTGATGAGTTCTGTTTGGCTGGCTTGAGTTCAGGATTTGGATATTCAGGAGTTCTATGAATTGTTACATAGATTAAGAGGTATGAGCCCATTAGCATGTGCTAATCAAATGAACAATTTGTTGGAAAAAAACCACAGAGATTGTAGTGAGTACTGCATCAATTTTTTCATATGCTGGTTTCCTCGTTTTATGCACATAACAGGATAATACAACAACCCCCATTTGAAGTTAGTCTTGTTCATTTATTCATTTGGCCAAAAAAATTATTAGGAAAGGATTATTCCTCTTTGGGGTGTAAAATATTAAGTGTCCATGCAGTCTGTGTTGTCTCCCCTCTACCACACTGAGTAGGGATATTTTGGGTGTGGGCAGCTCTGCTGGCCTCTGTATCAGCATGAAGACAGAGTGAAGGAAGCCTGCAGCTGAACAAGGCACAAAAGAAAGGCTGATTGTTTTACAGCACTGAGATTGCAGTGGCTTTTAATTATAATTTAGTTTATCCCAGGCTGATGGAGTGAGAGAGACAAGGAAGACTCAGCAATAGAATCTCAGAAAACAGTACCTGGTAAGCAAGAGATATTTTAGAAATTCAGAGAAGATACTGAAAATAAATAGCTAGATGAGGCAGGAGGTGGGAGAATACAAAAAGAAAAAAACGTAACTGAAGCCCAAGGAAGAGAAAAATTCCTAGTAGGAAGGATGAGAAAGAAGCCACTACTCGGCAGCCTTGTGAAGAGTCTAGAAGGTGGCAAAACATCAATGGTAATTTATTGAGCAGTGATGGAAGGCATGGAAGAGACAAACTGTGCTTTGACTTTCTTTAAAAGGGAAGAAAGACGTGTTATGCCAGGTGTAGAATCAGTGACTTAGAAAATAATTGGATAGTGTCATTGCTTTTTGATGAGAAGTATTAAGCAATATTTGTAGGAAAAAGAAAGAGGAGAGGAAAGGTAGAAGAGAACAGGAAGAGAGTAAGAATGATCTCTTAAAAAAACCCTAGCCCACTTGAAGGGAAAATAATAAAGAAGAGGGCTTGTATGTTCACTCTCAAGGAAAAGACGTTCTTAAGGAGGCTTGGAGACTTTGCTTTATGAATCTGCTCACTACACATTCCTCTGCGGAGTTTATTCTGCGGCCTGGACTGCATCAGAATGAAATATACAAAAAAAAATATATCTACATGAGCAAGAAAGCATACAAATAAAGCTACAATTCCCTGTATTAGTAATTCTTAAATACTGGACCTTTCACATTGATCCTACCATGGTACAGAACGATAGGAGCTGTCAAATTAACCGCTCGATTTTTCTGACATTTTCACAAAGTTTTGTGTTAGTGGTGGTGACATTGGAGGAACAGTGGTGTTTTATTTCAGATTGTCCTCTAAGCAGAAGATCTTCCTGTTTAATTTCTTGCTGATATAAAACACCTGTGCCTCACTGATCCTAAAGAAAATTATCAGATTATGAACCTGATTAGATTCAGGTCTTGTCCTAAAGATAGTGTGCTGCTCCCTGCTGGAGTTATTTACTATGTGTATTTGAGTTTGAAAGTAATGTACTGCATAAATAGTAAGGTTTGGGGGAAAGTGTACACATGTTTATCTACATTTACAGTTTTAATGATTATTGTGCTTATCCAATGTTTATAAATTTTGCTGAGAATTAGTAAGATTTGTGTAAGGTCCTGAAACTTTTAAAGTTCATTTCAAATGTTCTTTCATGTTAGCCTTTAGAATCCAAAAGTAAAGATT